GCCGAGAGGGACTTCACGCACGCGGCCTCGCTCAGCTTCCTCACGCCCCTGCGTGACTTCCTGGAGGGGGACTGGAAGACGATTTCGGTGAGGGGCCTGCGGCCGCCCTGCTCCCCGGGAAGCCCCGGGGCGTCCTGGGCTGCCCAGGGCCTCACCGGCGCCCGTTCCCCACCGCGCAGAAGGAGAGGCGGCTCCTGCACAACCGCCGGCTGGACCTGGACGCCTGCAAGGCTCGGCTGAAGAAAGCCAAGGCCGCCGAGGCCAAAGCCACGGTGCGTGTCCCCGCCCCCTCCGGCGTGAAGGGCCCTGGTGCGCCGCAAGGCCGCAGCCCCAACCTTGGCCTGGGAGTGGCACTGGGCCAGCGGGCCTCGCCGCGTGCCCACCCCCGGGGAAGCCTGGTGGCCCCAGAGCTCCGGGACCCAGGGAAGCGTTCACCCCCCCCCCAGCATGCCCGAGCCGGGCCCAGGTCCCCTCTGAGCCCGCGGCAGCAGCTAGGGTCTCGCATGCCCTCGCCCCTGCTCCCTGGATGCTCCCCCAGCTCCGCCCGGGCATGGCTCCCCCTCAACTAACTCCCCCACCTGCTGCTTCAACGCTGGGCCCCTGATGGTGCGGGGAAGCCTCGTGCAGGGCCGCCCTGCGCTCCCTCAGCGCAGCCCTGCCTGGCCGGGCCGAGGGACACAGCACCGGACCCCTGACCAGGGCTGGGCCGGCCATGGGAGGGCCGGGCCTGAGGTGAGCACAGCCCTGGCCGGCCAGGCTGTACAGGGACCTCGGCACCACCTCCCACCCCGCGGAGGGAGGCCCCCCGCCCAGCCCAGGCAGTCTCACAGCTGCCCCGACAGCCCCGGCACCAGCCCCAGCCTTTCCCCGCCGTCCTCTCCCACAGTGCGGCCACGGAGCCCCGGGCCACGGAGGGTCTGCGCTGCCCGTGGCAGGAGCCGCGATGTGTCAGGTCCAGGCCCGGGGGGCGTGGCCAGGGTGGCCCGCACCAGCCCCCTCTTCCCCGCCTGGCGAGGAGGCCAGGCTGCTGGCCCCCGAGGCCATCTGTGGACAACCCCGCCGCGGCCCGAGTGCGCGCGGCAGGTGCCCCCGGCCCCGGGCGCCGCTCCTGCCCGCGCTGTGGACTCACTAACTCTCTGTTTCTGTTCCTTTGCGTTCTGCTTTGGGTAACTTGGCTCAGTGTGAGGGAGATGTGAGTATACCTGCCCCATGTGCTGTGCTGCTTCTGGGCGCCCCGGGCCGGCCCCGCCTTGGGGCCCTTTGCAAGCAGCTCGCCTCCCGCCAGAGCCCCCTCGGGGAGCCCGGCCTGGGGGTGCAGGCCTCGGAGCCTGGGAGTCAGCTTTTTGCAAATGTTGACAGCCTGTCACCCTGTCCATCCATGCATCCGCCCGTCACTCATCGTGTGAGCAGGGGCCTGGGGCGGGCAGGCGGTGCTGTTGGTCTGACTGGGGCCTTCCGGCACCAGTGGGGCTCGGGAGAAGCGCGCCGGGCCCAGCCTGTGTTGGGACAGCAGGGCATCTGTCCCGGGCGCCCGGCATGCCCGCCCGCGGGGTCCTTGCCTGGCCGCCTCACCTCCAGGTGGCCGGAGCGGGCACCGGGGGCCGTGTGGTGTTGGTCTCTCTCCTCGTCCCTGGCTCCCCCGGGGAGACTTGGGGCGGCCTCCTGGCCTCGACCCCAGCTCCGGCCCAGGGTGACCCCGGCCCCCGTGACCTCTTCCCCGCCAGACGGTGCCGGACTTTCAGGAGACTAGACCTCGTAATTACATTCTCTCGGCCAGCGCCTCCGCGGTAAGCGCCCCCGCCCCCGTGCCCACCCTGCACCACTGCCCTGACCGCCTGGGGACCAGGAGCGGCAGGTGAGGCCGGGGCGCTGACGGGAAGCAGCCCTGCCCGTGCCTGCCCCTGGCCCGGTCCTCCCAGCTGCACCGCGCAGTGTGGTGAGCCTAGGACGGCACTGCGCCCTCCGCAGGGGACCTGAGGGTCTGCCTGCACCCCCTCCCCCACCGCCCCTGATGGCAGTCCGGGGTGGGTCGGTCTTCCCCACCTCACAGACCCCTAGGCAGGGGACGGCGATGGCCGCCGGCGTGGCCAGCCACCTGTGTAGCACAGCTGAGGGTGTCGGGAGCTGGGTGGAGGCTCAGGCAAGGCCTGAGGGGTGGGGCAGGAGGTGGGCAGGGCTGGCTCCGGGCTGGGGAGCTGCGTGGGCCCCCTGCCCGTCCCCACCGCGCTGCCCTTCTGCCCAGCACGCCTGGCGAGTCCCGCGTGCGGGCTGCTCCCCGTGTGGGCCCATCTGGCGCTGGGGCACGTGGCCTGGCCCTGCCGTCTGTTCCAGGCTGCTGTCCCGGGTCAGGTCTCCTACGTGGTGGCTGGGGAGGGGTTCTTTCTCCTGTAGACTCTGGAGGACACTGCCCGCCCCCCTCCCCGGGCCGAGCGGAAGAAGCAGCCTGGAGGGTGGAGGCCGCCCTGTGGCTTTCTTTTGCCACTGGCCCCCAGTGTGACCCCGGCCCAAGGCTGCCTTTCCCTGCCGGAGGACAGACAGGTTCAGTGACTGGCCCAGGCCGCCCAGCCCCCAGCCCTTGCCAGGACTCACGGGGGGGACGGAGGGCTGGTGCCGTAGGAGAGGCGCAGCAGGCCCCCCGCTGGCCGGCCCCTCCCCGCATGTGGCATGTCGACGCTCTGGCTGCCAGACCCCTGCTGCCATGCCAGGCCTGGTGCCAAGCTCAGCTCCTGGCCAGGCCGGGTGGGGGGCAGGGGTCGGGTCCCGGGGCGCTGGGGCTGGCCTGGGCCCTGGGTCCTGGCCACCCTCCACTCCCCTCCCGCTCACCCTACCGTTGTGGTCTCTGCAGCTTTGGAACGATGAGGTGGACAAGGTGAGGTGGGGCCACGGCGGTGCTGGGGGGCGGGGCCCAGACGTACCTCCTGCTGTGGAATTGGGTGTTTGTGGCTTGGGTTGTGCCCTGCGCTGGGGCAGCCTTCCCTGGAGGGGGGAGGGGGAGGGCCTGCCCCCAGGGCGACCCGTTGGGGGCTCCAGGCGTGGACCTGGTGGGAGCAGGGCAGCCGGTGCTGGCGCTGACTGTCCTGCCCCGCCCAGGCTGAGCAGGAGCTCCGAGTGGCCCAGACGGAGTTTGACCGGCAGGCGGAAGTGACCCGGCTGCTGTTGGAGGGGATCAGCAGCACTCATGTGAGCCCACCCTTGCACCCCAGACCGCCCCCCGGGTGGGCAGTGACCAGGGTCTCAGGAGAGGGGCAGGGCGGTCCTCCCCCGCCAGAGTGGGTGCTGGTGTGGAACACGCGGGAACACGGGGCTGGGGTCTGGCTGGGGAGGGTGGAGGTTTTGTCCCGCGGGCTCCCTGGCCCGGGGCGTGAGGTCGGACAGGCACCGCGTCCTCCCCACAGGTGAACCACCTCCGCTGCCTCCACGAGTTCGTCAAGTCACAGACGACCTACTACGCGCAGTGCTACCGTCACATGCTAGACCTGCAGAAGCAGCTGGGCAGGTGTGGACGCAGGCCGAGCCCCGGGTCCCCTAGCTCCCAGACCCTGAGCACCCCACGGTACAGACCAGCCTGGGCCCCTGTGTGGTGGGCACTCCCCCAGGCGCCTGGGGAGCAGTTTCTAGAGACCGCCTGGGCTGGGGGACGCCAGGGCCAGGGGGCGGGGCCATCTCACCCTTTTCCCACTTTGCTTCCTCTCTGTGCTGCCAGCTCCCAGGGTGCCATGTGAGTAGCTGGGGTAGCTGGGAGGGCACCTCCTGGGGCCGGAGGCGGGCCCTGCTCCTGCGCGTCTTGGTGGGCACGTGGGACTCCCGTGGGGCCTGGCTCCTGAAACGCTCCCTCCCCCCAGATTCCCAGGCACGTTTGTGGGCACCACGGAGCCTGCCTCCCCTCCCCTGAGCAGCACCTCGCCCACCACCGCCGCGGCCACCATGCCCGTGGTGCCCTCAGTGGCCGGCCTGGCCCCTCCGGGGGAGGCAGCACTCTGCCTGGAGGAGGTGGCGCCCCCCGCCAGCGGGACCCGCAAGGCCCGGGTGCTGTACGACTACGAGGCGGCGGACAGCAGTGAGCTGGCCCTGCTGGCTGACGAGGTAGGCCCAGGCCAGGAGCATGGAAGGGGCTGGATGGGGATCAGCACTGGGCCTGCAGCCTGTCTGCAGCGAAGGGGGGGGGAGCTGTCCCTGTCTGTGGAAGTGAACGCCGGGCACCGGGGCCAGGCTGTGAGCTGCCTCTGCCCTCCCCCAGCTCATCACCGTCTACAGCCTGCCTGGCATGGACCCCGACTGGCTCATTGGCGAGAGAGGCAACAAGAAGGGCAAGGTCCCCGTCACCTACTTGGAGCTGCTCAGCTAAGCGCCCCCGGCCCGGGCAGGAGAGCACGGACGGACACTGCGCTGCGCAGCTGCTCGGGTGGGACTGACCCACCCTGCCACGCCCCTGGTCATCCTGCTGTGAGGGAGCCCGAGAGGCTGAATGGTCCCTGCCTCTGCCAGCCCCGCTTCTGACCTACGGTTCTGGAGCCCAGCCCCTGCCTGCACCCCGCCCCCCAGCAGTCCGGCCCTCCCAGCTCCTGCTAGGAGGAGGGGCCCCAGCACTTCAGCCAGACTGGGGCAGCCGCGGGCGCCCAGGAAGCCGGCGGGGTGAGGGGCACAAGAGAGACCTGCCCTTATCTGCCAGAAGCCGAGAAGGGGGACAGCCGTGAGGCCAGCTGTGCCCTGGCAGCCCCTGGGGCCTGGGTACTGCCCCTCCTGGAGGGGACACCCTGGCAAGAGACGGGGTCGGGCCCCGGCGCAGTGCCTGCCCGGTGCTACCCTCCCCCACCTCCCAGCTCACGCCAAGCTGGTGGCTGCAGCCTTCGCTCTCCACGCCCCACTCACTTTTTAACAGACATTTCTACTTCTGCCTGTCTGCTCTCCAGCCAGTGGCAAACAATAAACCCTCCTTCGTGTGCGAGCTGCCTGGGCTCCTGTCGGGAGGCACAGCCCCGAGGAGGGGAACAGTGGAGGCCGCACGTCTGGCCCACTCCTGGTTGGTGGGGACGTACGGCAGTGAGCCAGGAAGCTGTGCCTCTCATGGCCGTCCTGCCCTGCGAGCCCTCTAGTGCAGACTGGGGGCCCTGCAGAGTCTGCCTGGCGGGGAGGAGCGAGGCCACGCCTCACGCCCCCACGCTGCCCTGTCCACATTATGCAGGTGAGAATGGCCGCCGCCTCGAGGTCCCACACCTGGCAAGTGGCTAAGCAGGGACTCAAGCCCAGGTCGGCCTGACTACTGAAACCTCACGTGACAGCAGGTTTTAAATGGCTCTGGGTGGGGGGGTCCAGGGTGAGGCAGGCGGGGGCATCACGCTAAACAGGAATAGAGTGGCCACACCGACAGCACAGCCGCTGGGCAGCGAGGGGAAGCCGAGGCAGAACCCGGGCAGGCTGAGGAAACGGGCCGTGACTGGAAGGTGTGCGAGTTGATGAGCAGGCAATATCCCACCTCTGCGAGCCAGCCCGGGCCAAAGGCTTTGAAGGCACGTGTCACACAGCTGTCTATAAACAGTATTTTAATATTTGTATAAATAGACCACAGTATTACCAAAAACTGCAACAATAGATCCTGGAAAGCATCTGCAAACCCGTGCACACGGCCCGCCCGGGGCGGCAGGGACCCTGGGCTGGCCTCGGTGGCCGGCAGCTGAGGAATGCTCCAAGGCCCGCACCAGCACTCTGAACGAGGCCCGTGCACAGCGGCCGCGCGGCTCCCCGCCCCTGCTGTTGACCTCTTTATTACAAAAATAATGTCAGCAGGCAGTGGCCGGAGTCCTGGCAACTCTGGGGAGCGGGTGGAGGAGCCGGGGGCAGCGCTCGGCCGCCCTATCTCTGCACGTGCCGGACGAAGGCTTGCACCAGCTGGATGAGCGGCTCCTGGCTCTCGGGGCTGGCCTTGGAGCCGGAGGTGGACCTGCCCTGCGGTGAGGGCAGGACGCCAGTAGCAGGGGAGCTGGGAGCCCCGCGGCGGAAGTAGCGCGAGAGGCTGGACAGCAGCGTGCTCTGTGAAAGAAGGTGGCGGATGAGACCTGGCCCCTCGGCCGCACCCACAGGCTCCTCCCCGGCCGGCCCACCCATATCAGCAGCACCCAGCCCTCCGGCCGGCCCACCCATACCAGCTCGGAGCTGAGCTCCTGCTTCATGCGCTGCTTGTCCCGAGGGTGCACGGCCGGGTCCCGCAGGTACCGCACTGCCTGGGAGATGAGCAGGTAGAAGCAGTTCTCCATGGTGAACACCAGGAGGGACCTGGGGAACAGTGCCGTTAGAGGGCGGCGCTGCTGGGAGCAGGCGAGCGCCCAGGGCGCCCCCGCCCGTTCCGAGTCCCCCAGGCGGCCTTACTTTAACGTCCTGGTCCCCTCTGCCTGTGTGCTGAGCCCCACGGCCTGGGGGAGGGGCTCCTTCTTCTTGTCCAGCTGGAGGAAGACAAGACAGCAGTGAATCACAGCACAGCGCCGGCCGCTGCCCGAGTGCAGCCCACCGCAGCCCCTCACCAGCCCTCACGAGCAGGCCCAAGCCACGGAGGGAGCGGGCGGGGGGCGGCGACAGCTCCCAGCTCACCTCCCCCAGCATGTTGAGGGCCACGTTCACCGTGGCCAGAAGGGTCCCGAAGGAGGGGGCCACTTCGGAGTCGAAGGTGGGAGTGGTGAAACTCAGGGCGAACAGGAAGTTGTACTCCGCAAGATCCAGCGACTGTGAGAAAGAACAGCCACTCTAGCAGCTGGCTGGGTGCCGGGACCCCGCGGAGCGCAGCAGCGCCGTCCACGCGCGGGCCAGCACCTGGTCCAGCAGGATCTGGCAGACGTCGGGGGTGAAGTGGCGCAGGGCCGCCAGCGTCCTGCTGAGGATCTTGAGGAGGCCGTACTGGACCGTGTGCAGCGCCCGCTGCTCCGTGGCCTCTGTGTCGGCGGCGGGCTGCTTGGACAAGGGGCACGAGGGGGCAGCAGTGGAGGCAGTGGGTGGCCGCTGCACTCGGGGAGCAACAGCCGGGGGAATGCCATCCCCATTTTTGTTCTGGGGAGAAAGAAGTGGTCAGAGCCCAGCGAGCCAGGGGAGGCACCCAGGAGACGACGGGGGCGGGAGGGGGGTGGTGTGCTGTTACCTGCAGGTAGTGCTGCAGCATCTTGCGGCTGTGCAGGAGCGAAGTGCAGGCCTGGCACAGGTAGCCGAGGTTTACCTAGGACACGGTGGGCAGGGGTCTAGGACACGGGGGGCAGGGGTCTAGGACACGGGGGCAGGTGTGTGTGTGACACAGGCAGCCGAGGTTTACCTAGGACACACGTGGGGGCAGGGGTGTGTGTGTGTGTGTGTGTGTGTGTGTGACACAGGCAGCCAAGGTTTACCTAGGACACGCGGGGAGCAGGGGTGTGGGTGTGTGTGTGTGTGTGTGTGACACAGGCAGCCGAGGTTTACCTAGGACACACGCGGGGGCAGGGGTGTGCGTGTGCGTGTGTGCACACACGTGTGTGTAGGATTCTCTGGCTGCAGACACAGTCAACCAAGGAGACTGAAGGAACACACATCTCTCAGCCCCTCCGTGCCCCAGGCCACCTCCGTGCTAGCTGACAGCCCCTCTGCAGACCCCGGCACCAGGGTTCAGGGCAGGACTGGCTCCCTGGACTGAGGGAGCAGAGACCACCGCCCCCATTTTACCAAGGAACAAAGGCTCAGAGAGCAGCAGTGACCTGGCCAGCCTCCCACAGCCAGCAAGTGCCGGAAGGCCCTGTCCTCTTCCTGCTCGGAGTCCCGCCCCAGACCTGTTCCTCAGGTCTGAGTCCAGGTCTGGCCAACACGGCCCCTGTTCAGAAGCGACCCAGCTGCCCTGCACTGTGGGGGGAGTCCAGCCAGAGGAGAACAAGAAAGCAACAGCAAGAAACCAAATCCTGTGTGCCCCAAGCCAAAGACCCACAGTCCAGGAATGGCCTGCAGTTCACTAGAGGGGCCCTGGGAGCACCCACCGCCTCCCGGCCCCTTGAACAAGCCGCATCCGAGAGCCCACCTGGACGTCACGCATAAGCTGCGGCAGGTGGAAGTGCCACTCCTTCATGAAGCTGGACAGCTGCAGGATGAAGCCCACGGTGTGGTCCGCCTCCTCCAGGCAGGCCAGGCTCTGCACCGTCCTTACTGCATTGAGGCACTGGGAGCAGAGGACGCCAGGGAAGGAGGGGAGGGCTCAGGGCCTGGCAGCACGAGCTTTCGGTCTGAGCTGACCTGCACCAGCCCCTTGCTGGGCATCCCTGACAGCCAGCAGTGTCAGGGCACCTCAGCGTGAAGGCACCACAACCAGCACGCCAGCCCGCAGCGAGGCCACGCCCACCACGCCCCTGGATGGCTGCGTCTCACCCTGAGCCCTGAGCCCGGGAGGCTGGCAGCCCCTCACCTGCAAGGTCCGCTCCTGGTGGACACCTACAAAGTCCAGAGCCTCCGTCAGGAAGTTGTAGCGCAGAGTCTTAAGCAGTCGCTCCATCAAAGACATGGACAGGCGATAGACCCCCGGCCAGGAGGGGGCATCCAGTGACTTCCGAGAGGCGCTGGGTGCCTAGGACAAACAGCAGCAAGCTCAGGCCACGGTGCCCAGCTGCTGGGAGAACACCTGGATCACGCACAGCTACTGCTGGCACACAGCAGGGCCAGAAGTGGTCCAACGCCAGTGGACGCAGGACCCTGGGTTCCAGACTCAGGCCTGCACTAACCAGCTGTGTGAACCTGGGCGTGTCTGCCCTGCTCTGGCCCGCCCACGTTTCCTCTACAGGGAGACTGGGCTGCAAGACCAAACACTTCCCTCGGACGCACATGAGGGGTTCGAGTGACGCCCGCTCCTGGGATGCGGAGCTGCCTGTTGAATAAAGGAAGCAAGGCTCCAGAGTGCTGGGCGCTGAGGTTGCACCGAGCTCCTGCCGCCCCGGCCCTTCTCCTGGCCATGCCGGGGTGCGGTGGCGGAGGAGTCATGGTTACACACGGTGCCCTTGGGAGGAAGCAGAGACAACAGCTGCCCTGGCTGAAGCCTGGCCCTGGGGACCTGTCCGCAGTCTGGTGGGCACCCCTATGCCTGGAACAGGAAGAACCTTTCTCAAAGCCGGTGCAGGGTGAACAGCAGGTCCTGTTAGGAACCACGTTTCTCTTACAAGACACCTGCTAGGGACTGGGACGAAGGGCACTCAACAAGCCACGCAGAGAACAGCAACTTGGAGGGCAGATGGAGGCACCCGGGTGGGGGAACACAGACGGTCAGGCCAAGAGCGTCTCGAGTGACCGGCACTCACCTGGCCCGAGCCATTCGTGCTGAGCTGGTACACACTCAGGAGAGGCAAACAAATGCTCTGCGTGATGCCAGCTCCAGCCACTGCTGCGGCTCCCTGGGAGGGAACGAGAGTAAGACGGAGCCTGACCCCGACCCCTCCCTCCCCACGAAGCAGTCTGCAGCCACCTGGCCCAGAGACGGGGGAGCTCCTGGGCAGGTTCCTCCTGCCCTCAGGCCGCCGCCTACCTGCTGAGTGCGAGCCAGGGTGAGGAGCAGGTGCAAGGAAGCCTCTGTGAAGTGCAGGTTCTGCTTCATGCGCAGGCTCACCTCCAGGGTGGTGAGGAGGGTGGGCAGGACGGGGAGCCTGCGCGTCACCTGCAGCCAGGAGTCCCCGTCCTCATCCACCTCACACAGTTCCTTGGCCAGGTGCAGACCCAGCACACACACCTGCTGGAGCCAAGGAGTGCACGTGGGTGAAGGAGGGAAGGAGGAGGGTCACTCTGGCCTGGCTGCCCAAGACCCCTGTGGTCACCTCTCAGCAGCTCTCTCCCAGAGTGAGCATGCGCTACACGACCAGGAGCTGCCTCTGTCTCCCACTCCCCCCGCTCCGCCTTCAAGCGTCGGCAGTGCCATCTGTCTGCATCTGGACACTGCCCAATCCTGCACGTGGAGTCCGAGTGGCC